CACAGGTTTTGTGGTTTCAATCTTTCTTAATCAAAGGCTATGTGTGTTACTTTACATGCAGCTCAGAGTTCAAGAGCTTTTCCTATCTCTTCAATGAGGAGCAGTTCATGACAGCATTGGCAAAGGATGTAAGAGTAATTAAGACCCTTCCAAAAGATCTAAAAGGGGCAAGGAGGAAGAAGAAGATCCCACTTTTTAGGGTTCCATACCAGGCCTCACCATACTTTTTTCTCCACCATGTTCTCCCGGTACTGAACAAGCATTCAGCTGTTGAATTGGTGGTCTCAGATGGTGGATGCCTACAGGTATGACTTAAAAAATCTTCTATGATTTGAAGAAAATCTTTTCTAGGGATATCGATACTGATTTGTCATTTTCTAATTGGGAAAGGGCCTGAAGATTTTAGAGATGATTGCCAGATGTTTCTGAAGATATTCTTCCTTGTCTACATTGCTGCATGCGTTTGTCTACCGCATTATAAGCTACAATCCTTGCCTATTTTTCTTAGTGCTTTCCCCCTGCATTTGTGTGAATTGACTCTGGACAGCAAGACTCCTTCTCTGACATTTCTGGTCGCAATATTACTAGCTGTTGAATCCATTCTTTTATTTGACATGGAGTTTGTACCTGGGTGCTTGTTCTTCGCCTCAATTTGTAGTATCTGTAGAGTCAGTTCTTCCTATCAATGTATGCGTCGAGGTGTCTAGTGAAATACCCTAAGACAACCATGTCTCAATTTATAATTTGAAACGTGGGAAGTTTCTATGGGATTCTTCTAAGACAAGGAGCGAATGTCCTAATACAACATGTCACTGTCTTGTCATGATCTCCTCCCAATTTTCGAACTCTCTCTTATGTTGGGCCTTATCCAGGCTATACTTGCGCCCCAGTTTGAAGAGCTTCAGAGGCTGAGATGTAGAGTCTCTTTCCATGCTCTTCGATTTAGACAGGAGGTCCAGGAACTGGCTACTAATATTCTGCATAGGTGATTGATTGCTTGTGATCCATTTTTTCTCGTGTGCTAAGTTTTGCAGCATTTCACTTATCTTTAGTTTAATTTCTAGATTACGATCCCCTGGACGGCCATTTATAGCATATGATCCTGGGATGACAAGAGATGCCTTGGCATATCATGGCTGTGCTGAGTTGTTCCAGGTATGTTGTTTTGTCAAAGTACCTTGTGACAGATTTTTCAGCTCTCTTGAATTGGCATTGAGAAGAGTATGGTTTGGCGAAACTTCTTTAAGGATGTACATACTGAACTCATCCAACATAAAAGAGCTTGGATGCTAAAGCGGGGGATTGTCAAGGGGAGCCTCCCTGTGGATTCAGCAGAAAAGCGCCTCAATGGGTCGTGCCCTCTTATGCCGGAAGAGGTAAGCCTAATCGGGTTATAATGCTTTATGAAGCTTGATTACTTTGCACATAGTCGTAGCAGTTTGCTTATTCTGATGTAGAGAGATGGAGGTGAATTTCTATGGTGTTAGTTTGACTGAAAGCTAAAATGAGAAAAGGCCTCTTGCTTGTTTTGCATTTATATGGGGTGAGCCCATTTTTCAGAAGATGGGGCTTCTCCAATTCTGGTTGAACTTCTTTTGTGAACTCGTCTCAACTCCATCCATTGATTAGTCAAAGTTGTATTGTGTTAACAGATTGGAATTCTTCTCCGTGCATATGGATACTCATGGGATACCATAATATATGTTTCCGGGGGTGAAGTCTTTGGTGGTCAAAGGACATTAATACCTCTACACTCCATGTTTGAAAATGTCGTTGATAGGACTTCTCTTAGTTCGAGTTGGGAGCTGAACAGAATTTACGGGCGTGAGTCCAACCTAGCTTCAGATTATCCCAAGAAGCTTACTCCAGTCGATGTAGAATTGAAACGCGAGGAATGGAAACAGGCGGGCCCACGCCCTCGTCCACTTCCACCACCTCCGGCCCGGCCCAAATACCCTTATAACATCGAAGGTTGGTGGGGCTGGGTGGCTGAAAGTGATAATGAGCCTGACAGTACAGTAATGGAGCTGAGGATGAATGCCCATAAATTACTTTGGGAAGCAATTGACTATGTAGTTTGTGTTGAAGCGGATGTGTTCATTCCTGGATTCGACCGTGATGGTAAGGGGCATGCAAATTTCGCTGCCTTAGTGATGGGCCATAGACTGTACCAGTCAGCGGCCTCCAGAACTTACAGACCTAACAGGTAACTATCTGGTCGAGTTATTGTAGACAGCTTAAAACCGTAAACAGCATAGTGAATCTCTCTTGTTAGGCAATAGCTTTGGATTTGAAAGACCCGGGTGCTATTTGTTCATAGTAGTTCAACTCCCTTGTTTGTCAACTCCCTTGTTTGTCCTTATGCAAATGTCTTTTCAGGCAGTTACTTAGGCCTTTGGATTCTCGAACTTTATGAGTACATGATAAGTACAACCTTTAAAGTACGCAAATGTCTTTTCAGGCAGTTACTTAGGCCTTTGGATTCTCGAACTTTATGAGTACATGATAAATAGAACCTTTAAAAGTATGCAATTCTTGTCTCCTAGTTAGTTGTGATTGTTTCAATTGGAGATTTCTCTCTATTCAATCGCTGTTGGACTAATCTTGCATCCGCACCATTGGGCATGACATGCATGTTCCAGATGCTTGTTAAGTTGCGCTTTCAACTATGATAAAAGAGTTTCCACATTGTATCAGAAAGATTCTGTATTCTATTCACTCGATTCTTCTCTCATGAAAGTGTGATTTTTATCCGTACGAAAAAATTGAAACTTGTGTTTCTGTGAATGCAGGAAACAAGTCGTGAAATTCTTGGAAGAAACACGTGACCACCTATATCAGGCAAATCGCACGTGGCTGACGTCGATCCGCAGGCACCTGAGAAACAGTCTGCTCGATGGGCTGACGGAAGCATCTGTAAATTCAAAGTCTCTCTCTTTCCTCTCTCATCCCATCCCTGAATGTTCTTGCTCGAGCCACGATCCAGCCGAATCTGCATCCCACCCTTCTCGGCCGTCTCCCTCCCTTCAGACAGCTCTTGGCTCTGTCCACCATTGCCCAGCTTGGATGGACACCGGTGCGACATCCCTTCCAATAGAGAAGGAAAACGACGAAGATCTCGACGAGGACGATACCTCATCGTCCGGGTTGTTTCTCCGGAATAGTGCTCATGAAAACGGAAGTGGCGAGGTAAGTAAAGAGGAGGCCCAGTTGGAGGACCAGGAAGAACTAGAAGGTGGGGAGAGAAGATGACAGGTGCTTAGGCAGAAGTTTCGGATTTGTGTACATGAGTTTGCTAGGGGTGATAGAGTGCTTGTGGTTCATAATTTTTGTTTCCTATCAATCTTTGTTTTTTGGTTTGCCCCCTTCATTTTGGTAGTCAAATCTAAGATCTAACGATCATCTTGGAAATTTGTATCAATTTGTGTAGAAAGAGGAACTCATTTCTGGGGTCCAAAAAGTAGTGTTAGCAACAGAAACCCCAGCAACAATTTTGGTGTAGGGCTGATGGGGAGTATATACAAATTTCACGCCGGAGGGTCTCTATTCGTATTGAGATTTTGTGGGGGTCGCTACCGACTGTTCAAACTTAAGCTGTTAGACGAATGCATCGTTTAATATTTAAATATTTTATCGCAAACTGTGTTCATGATTTTGCTGACTATGGCGGTAGGGTACTGTTGATTCTTGATATGGATGCATTTACTTAGCTTGAAAAGATAGGCGCCTTTTTTAAGGGCATTCTTGTGATTACTCATAAGTTTCTGGGTCAAAATGATAAAAAAAAAAAAGGGAAATTAAAATTCTTACAAAAGTCAGGTCAAATTTTCGATAGTTACGGGTTTTGCAGCTTTGATCTAGGCGATGTGTGAGGAAGATTGTTGAGGTTATTCAACATCGGTTATGTGTGAGAAGATTGTTGAGATTATTCAACATCGGTTATGTGTGAGGAGAAAATTGTTGAGGTTATTCAACATCGGTCATGAAAAGAGAAAGAACAGGTAGTCAATTTATAAGTGTGAAGAAAAGTCTAACGTTTTTTAGTCAGCTTTTGGGATGAGTTAGGGTGAGAGAGGTGTATCACCATCCAACACTGATATAGCTCAATAGACACGGGAGAGTTACGGTTGTTGCGACTCAAATTTTCTCACATCGATCATCAACATCCTTAAGATTGAAAAGTCAAAACTGTACTTCATAAAAATATGGTTAGATTTTGACACGTGCAGCTTCCCAAAGTTAAGCAGACATTTTTCGTGGTGGCGGCTTCATCAGCAAAGCAGAGCAGCTGCAGAGGAAACCACGGGAGACTTCGAAGGTTTGGTCTTCGAAACTGTAGCGAGTCAAATTACACGCAAGAAGTTCGTTGAAAATATCTGAACGCTCTGTTTTTATGCTTGGGAAATCTCAGCCCTATAAAGAGGGGCGGATGTCGGGAATACATCATATGTTTCAGCTGTGAAGTCTTTGCGCAAGAAAAGCATCTGCGGATTTCACAGTGAGAGGAAAAGATGAGGGGAGAAGAAAGAGCTGGGAGTGAAAAGAAGATGGGTGCGAGCGGTGAGAGCATAAACTGGTTCAAGACCTTCTTTTCTTGCTTCTTCGTGCCTGCTGAGGCCGCATGTTCGAGACCGGAGGAACCCAACGTGGTGGAGGCGACGATGGTCGAGTCGGGCAAGCATTTCTCGTCGTCGTACAAAGTTCGGTTCGGCTAATGTTCAAGCCAGAAAGAAGAAGAAGACGGCCGTTCATGGGTTGCGACTAAAGTATGTGGCTTTCGCGGGAGCAAATTTCCTTATGCCGACTCACGGGGTTGCAGGCCCAAACAAATCTTTGCAAAATGTCCGATCATGGTTCGATTCTGGTCTGTAGCGCACGAGAGTTCGGTTTAGCATGCGGAGTCTAGCACAAAGTCCTCGAGATTTTCATGTCGTGTATCCTTGGTGGGAAAAGTCAATTCCGTAATTGGGTACTGATCGATGATAAGCATTCCTTCATGGAATTTTAGTGCGTTTGGCTCTGTATCATTTCTACATAGTCTAGTGTCAAGTGTGTACCGAATCTCAGCAATAACATACAGTGTCACTGTAGTGTGTTTGGCTTTGCATCAGTTCACACATCTTCTGTAACATTAAGACAACTTAAAACCAACGAGATCTTCAATGGAATAACTCATCAGATGTGGTATGGCAGGAAGATTGAACTGGGCCTAGTTCATCGAGGTCTCGGTTTGCTTGAGTTTCAATCCTCATCCTTCAATTGTTCCAAGTGAGCTTCTCACTTTCTTGTGGTCACTTGTAAGTGACCTTTTGGCTTAAATCTGGCGTAGAATACATTTGTTATTGTTGAACTAGGACGAGGAAAAGTTTACATGATTCAATCGCTAGTGAGAATTGATTCCTGTTGATAGTATATATAAAGCTTAAGGAAAAAAAGAGGGGAAAAACTTCTTTCTTTTGGATCAAGACAAGACCACCACCTTGCTCAGTATCCACAGCACGAGTGAGAACTCGAAAGCAAAGATCGTGTGCAGCAGCCCCCTGTCCAGCGCAAACCCGTACAGCGTTATCCCGCCATTGTTCCGTTCCAAGTACGCCACTGCACATATAGTACATCGAGTCAGAGGTGTTATCAAAGTGAGGTTCGAGTTCAATGATGGATTTCGTGTGTATAAATGGACTGACATAATGCTTGTCGGATTTGGAATGAGCTAGAATCCGAGGAGGTGGAGACCGGGATAAGGAGATCCGAGTCGGCGTCACTGTGCGAACCCTCTTGTTCCATGGTTTCGGGTTTTGGCCAGTTCGAACCAGAAGCAGAAGCAGAAGTCACGAGCATGTGCCATCTAGTGGCCAGAGAGGCAATCCCTTGAGCTCTGTGGGTGATTCTTGCTGCCCCCAACAAGCACAAGAACAGACCACTCAGCTCAACAACCGAACACACCTGCAACAAACGCATCAGGAAAATCAAACGAAGATGACAAGCATATTCCGGGGAACGTAATTGAATTCGCTACGTTCACTCACCACAAGATCTCCAGAATTGAAGAAATTCTTCTCGGTCTTTGATGCCAGGACGATCAGGAGTGCTGCAAACTGGCTCACTGTCATTGTCACGAGGCAACTGATGATGAAGAACCGGTACCGGTGGCTTGTTGCAGACAACTGCTTCCTGATCCTGACGTGCTCGTCGAATATGGCGGTCGGGTCGGATTCGCACCCCTCGAGCATCCCGTGGAGGCCGCCGAGCCTTAGGATCTGGAGCTCGCAGGTCAGCCGGAAGAGGACGCAGACGAGGAGGAAGATGCCGGTTCGGTAAATCCAGGAGGCGAGGACAAGGACGAAGAGGACGGCGTTGGATGGGAAGGGGAAGGGGAGGGAGAAGGACATGGAGACGGTCGAGAAGAAGACGACCTTGTGGGCGAGTTCGACGAGGAAGGAAGGAAGGAGGATGTAGGACAGGTAGCGGAATGACTTGTCGAGCTCGCGGGCGTAGTTACGACGCACAGGGGCAGAGTCATGTTCAAGCGCATCGAGGAAGAGGAGCTGCCGCAGCCCGTACTTGTTGAAGAACCTGCGTTTCGAGTCGCAACAAAGATGTCGAGAGCGGGAAAGTCAGTCGCAAAGAAAGTCTTATTTCTACTGTAATTTAATGTGATTGATGCTGTTTCTCAAAGCATAATAAAAGAACAGACATTCGGGATTTTCTTCTCAGTTAGCTTAGAACTTTGCATGAACTGCACGTACCAACTACAGGATTGACACTAGTGATAACAAAGGTTGAAATCTAAATAAAGCTTTAAGTTAAAGCCTCAGTTAAAGTAGGTCCATTTATCTTGGTGAGTTCGTTCTAGGAAAGAGGGAAAAGGGAAGAACAAAAACAAAGAACTCGCTTATTAGAAAGATCACAGTTCGTTATCTCGAGCTGGATAAACACCATTTAAGAAAGGAAACAACTGACGAAAAAATAAAGAAAACGATGCTACCTGCATAGTGTGAAGAAGCCAATTGCAGCTAAGCCCGACTCCGGGAACTGGATGAGCAGGTTGAAAGATATCGGGTTCTCGACCGGAGCTGTCGATGGTACTTTCACGGCAAGGGAGCCCACTATTGGAATGACGACGGTGAAAAGTACGAATGTGAAAATGGAGATGAACTTCCCAAAACAGGAGGACTGATCGAGTGCGCACCACCTGAGGCTGATTCGGAAGTGGTGTAGATCATCGGAGATGAGTGATTTCGACCTGGCATAGGATGGACGGAGAAGCAACGGGACGGACGCAAGATGGCGCGGCTCATGGAACCGTGTTGGGGAGGATTCATGGTCGTGGTCAGGAGCCTCTACATCAATGAGGGCAGCATCATTGATGGTTGGGGGATGCATTTGTGGTTTGAAGTTGCCGGATGGAGGAAGATCGGGGGGGTGCGTGGGTTATAACTGAGAAGATTGAATAAAGGAGTGAAGCAATCCGTGATACGGGAAGCTTTTCTAGGTGAGAAGAGAGCAACAGCTCACAAAAAGGTAAGAAGGAAAAAAATTGTACTTTGCTTGAGGATTTGAAGAAACTGCATGATTCGTTTTACAGGAAGAAGCAATGCATCTCATCGCTGAAAAAGTGGGTGAAAATCAGGTCCTCACGGACAGGATTCACAGGTGTTCAGACTCAAAAGTTCAGCGAGAGTAGAGAAGCTCCGCATAGTTCGTAAAAGAACCGTCCAAAAAGCTCATGAAAATAAGACACTCGGTAGGCAAAGAAAAAATGTAGTCTGGTAAAGAGATTGAAAGAGAGGAGAAAAAGAGAATCAAAGAGAGGAGGATTGCACAGAATAAGCTTAAGAAAGACTAAGAAAAGAATAGTCTGGTCAAGAGATGGAAAAGGAATGACAATGGAAATCAGCAGGATCTTAAAAAGACATTCAACAATAAATTGCACTGCAGTAGCAAAGGAAGAGGAAAGGAACTGCGATTAAGCGGTTTGAAACTTGAATAAGAATTAAGAAATGACACCGCCACCGGATGGTCACTATGCAGCTTCTCATTATATACCCACGGAAGCCTGAATCGGGCATAGGAGATCCAAATAAATGAATACATGTAATAAAACTTTTCTATGCATTTCCACTTAACTACGCAAACTGGAGAGCACCCCCATATACAATTAACCTGAACCTAGCTGTTCTCAGACCATGGTAGACAATTGATGGATCCTACTTCCTGTTTCCATCCCCGACATTACATTAAAAAAGAATAATGGGAGGTAGACCATTCTGATTCACTAACTCTTCTCCGTTCTAAGTCTCTTATGAGCCTGATCAGGTTCTTCACTGTAGACTTCAGAGCCATCGTGCACCCGAGCTTGACTATCTGGAGGGACGTTTTCATGATCCTGTACATATGTGAAGACAGATTTACAGACTAAACACACAAATACATAAAACGCCTTTCCTATATATATATAATGTCTAGCTTTGAATTCTACCCTTCCAAAATCTTGTGAATTTGTCAGTGAGAATGTCCAGTTGTTAGCTTTAGAGAGATGAAGGCCGTCTACAAATTTTATTAAGCTCAAGACTTCAGAAATCAAAAACTCATGGTCAATATTGCTCTTTCAGCCTGATAGGTCGTCCGTCTTAATTGCCAATTCCGTCATTACTATCTAAGCATTTACCAGGAGAAAGAGGCACAAGAAGTTAAAAATAGATCCACCGACCATATAACCAATAGTTAACTTGCATGTCATTGGTGGAATGACAATTAGAATAGCATATTGGAAGTAGACTACCACATACTTCTAGAAGCCGCGTCATTGTAAATAAATGACCGCTCTTAAAATAATTAAAGGGTCATTTACCATATAATAGGCCACCAAAATAGTTTTGAAGGACTCATACATCTACAACACAAACTTATCCTGCATAGACAGCACTACAGACTAATTCCATTACCATCCAAAGAACATCACAATTTCAACTGCTTATATCAAAGTAAGGACACTAAAATTTCAAAGGCTTATGTCGCACTTAGGATGGTCATTGCATTCAGTGCTGCAAGAATTGCATTTGCTGTGATTACTGCTTTTAAACTTTCTAGATAAGCCCGCTGGTGTTAGACCGCTGTCAAATTTCTGCAATCTGAAACACCGAAGAAGTGGACTGAAAAAGGGAAAAATAATCTCAGATGATGGTTCTAGCAGGTCTTGCAGCCTCCCTAACTACAATCAATGATGGACTGGGTATGTAATTATAAAAAAAAAAACATCAGCAACGACTATTGCATGAGATAGTAAAAAATGAGTTACAGGTTTTAGACCTGCAAAGTGGATAAGGTCCCGGCTGCTCTATTACTTGCTCGCTTCCCAACATCAATTTCCACAGAGATGCTGGCTTGGGACAAATCCACTCCCGATGATTGTAGTGCTTGGGTCAGAGTGTTTAATATCCTGTAACAAAGACTACTATGATGTCAAACTAGAATATCCAAACATTTCCAAAACAAGATATCATTAGACAAGATGTAATCAAAGAAGATTTCATAGCTTGAAATGATGCAACTCTAGCATGAAAGCAAGTAGGCAGTCCAATTCAAGCTGCTGTGGATCCCAAGGGTCAACTATATCAACTCTAAAAGACATGTGAATATGTCACAGACAGCCCAAAGCATACAAACATCTTGTCTCTTAATGGAAAAATTAGGTGAATCGTCATATATTATTCTGATTATACTTGCAGTAGTCCTCTCCTTCATTGATGCTGTGAAAAATCAAGATTCCAGAAAATTGCATTATTTTTCAGCAGTAGAATCCTTGATGTTAGGGAACTCCATTTACAAAACTCCAAATACGAAGTTACTTCATATCCACTATAATGTAGATTAGAGTTACATCTTTCTTGGATCAGGCATAAGAGATGTCGACCAAAAATGTAACTGGATGTAATGTGTCTTGAGGAACAATTACCCTTGAGAATAGGCAGCAGAAAGGCTAACAGATCCACTTTCAATCGCGAATTGCTCCTGATCAATATGTGTATTGTTCGGGATGCTGCAATCTGCTGCAAAAGGCATGGCCTGCCACAACTGCGACTGAGGATGGCCAGACACATTACCGACATTAGATGCAGCTTCAGTCAACGGTTCACTGGCCATCCCGCCATGCCCAACAGAAGAAAACATGCCTGGTTGTGTTTGCATGTTCATGGAGTCTGCGGCATTTCCCAAATCAGTTTCCAATGAGTTCTGTGCGTTTGCGAGCAGTGGGCTCATAACAACTCTACTCTCATGACCACTTCCGTTTTTCATAATTTGAAGATGATCCATATGACTTTCCACAGTCCCCGTATTGCTTCTCTGTAAAAAAAAAATGAAGGAAATGTTATAAAGAGCACTATCTGTGGTTCTATGTTGGCATTTCATGACAATATAAGCTTCAGCAATTCACTTGATGCCAACCATTCACTTAACAAGCTCATAGATCTTCAATTCTAAGTACGGAGAATACGAGAAGTCTTCCAAAAGGATTAATAGTTCCTCTGGGAGAAGTCTTTGTCTTTTCTTATGAGTTGACTTAAGGATGGACATTTAATAAGCACATGCATAAACACATAATAATAGCGATGCACATAAATTAAAAGATAAAATTGATGCGAGTCCAATGAACAACTTTGCGCGTTCAATATAAGATTCTAGAGTAAATTCCACGTATTCCTCAATAAAGCATAACAAAATCCTCGGACATCCAGCTATCCAAGGTTCCGGCAAACATTTTGCAGCATTATTATCTGAATTCATGATAGAAGCACTTCGTGAAAGTAGTGATAACACTGATCATGCAGAAGTAATTTCTCAAAGCAACCCCAGATAATTTATGACCAAGATAGAAAATGACACAGGAAAATGTGATTAAACTGGTTTCTTTCATAAAACAGACTTAATCCTAAATACAGAATTAACACCATATATGGATATGGAACGTGTCTCCCAGCAATGAACTCAAATTGGCCAATGGCCAGAATGAGTTCACATGATCTATTCTGAGATTGCAGAGAACTGCAAGACAAACCGTACAGTTTGCTGTTTTACAGACGACATTTTACTTCGTCTTCACAAAACAAGTCGATTATTTTCATAACTTTCCCTCGCATCGATCTATACTGCCATACAAGGAAGAATAAAACCTTAGTAGTAGGAACCAATTTCTATTTTCAAGTCAAAAGACATGTTACCACATATGACAAGGCAGGTGCTACTACTTTAATAACATGAGTTCGGTGCTGGTTCTTACCCATGGTGTTAATTTACTTGGCTCCTGATTATAACCAGGGTATGAACCCTCATACACCCGTATTTTCTCCTGTAAAAATTGAATGTACTCTATAACCTGAAACAAATATATGGAACTCTGCTCAGCTATCACATTAAAAAAAAAAAATTAGCCAATGTAGTGTTCGAAAGATGTGCCTGGGCCATTTACCTCTAACAAGAATGAAGCCTTATCTCTTTTTTGATCATTTTGAGGTATGAGATCTCTCAATATTTGAAACCTGCATTACCAAAATGAAACATCAATCACAAAGCGGTTCTTCTGCTATAATTGTAAGGAACGGTTCGCATGAAACTGTATCAAGGACATCAACATGAGCAAGACTGGTTTATGTGCCTAGATTGCGGAACAGGATCCGAACAAGGCAAAAGCTTTCGCAATTTCACAAATTCAAACCGTAGTCGGGTCAACTGTTTGGATTATTCACCCTCCATTGTGTTCACTATCTTTTGCATACTTCAACAACAGAAGAATTGGAATTTTTCTACAATGAACCTTAATGGACTAAAAAGCATTTCTTGCCCAACTTACATTCTCTTTTGCTAAAGTAAGTTCCTTTCGGGTTTCTTTTTTCCCCACCATGCATGCATGGGTGATGTGATTAAGTGAATTATCGGCAGCAATCCGGGGCCCTAAAGTACCAAAAATCAAGACGAGTGCCCGGATTCCAAACTGTGGAGGAGGTACAGGGACCATGAAACCAAATGTAGAAGCAAAGACCAGCTTCACATGAACTAAGCAATAGATTCACCGCACCCCATCCAATCATTCACAGATTTACGCTAACTCAAACGCCATAAACAGAACAGAGCACGACAATGGCCAAATTTACAGGACAGCAAACGCTTGCCTCTCGTTGATCTTGCTCCTCCTACGCTGTTCCGTCTCCGAATGCTTCGAACGCGGCGCGTTCCCCTTCTTCCCGTCCGCTTTCCCTACTTCCTCTACACGAACGCCCAGGTCATCAATACTCACTTTGCGCATGTTGGGGAGAAAAAAAAAAAAGGGAACTTTACACGAAAATCCAACCAAAAAAAAAAAACAACCTTTCGGGAAAGAAGAATTGTGGGCAGGAGCGAAGTCGTCACCGTATTCGGTCTCGTCGTCGTCGTCGTCGTCGTCGCGCTCGTGGTGGTGGTGAGGTGTCTTAGCAGGCCTCACCATCTCTTCCGCCACGCCACGCCACGCACCGAAAAGCTCTTCCAACGAGCTAAACCACGCCCCGGGGCCGATATACCACGCAAAGAAATTTCCTCAGCAGGAACCGCCACCTCCGAGCCTGCAAACAACACGGAAATGCGGAATTGAGCTGAAACACACACGCGGAGCAGGAGACACAGCGTCGTCGGCAAGTTCACCGTTCCGACGCCGGAAAAGCCAAGAAAAACTCAGAGAGAGAGAGAGAGAGAGAGAGAGAGGACCTGTGATGATCAGGGAGAGGAGGAGGAGGAGGAGGAGGAGGTGGTGGAGGTGGAGGTGGAGGTGGAAGGAATGTGATGTCTGCAGGTGCAGTTGCTGGTTTTGCACTTGCAGAGAGAGAGAGAGA